GGCCGCCCTTCCGCGCCCCTCGGGCCGTGCCGCGTCCCGGGAAGCCTCTGTTCTCCCCTCCCAAACCCCCAGCCGCCCATCTCCCCCTTGCCGGCTCGGGGGAGCTTAGGAGGGGTGCTGGGGATCCGCGCTTCCCCTCGGGCGTGGCTTTTGGGAGAGGTTTGCCTGGCTGGTGCGTGGGTAAATGGCAGCGAGGCGTCGGTTCCTGTGCAATACTGAGAAACTGATAATTAATTCAATTTATTTTTACTGTGTGAGCTGAACGTTGGTGCTTCAGGGAGTTGGGTGCAATGCTGATGATATGCAATTAAAAATATGATTGGAAGGCGTTTCATTTTTCACTTTACATCTAATTTAGTGCAAGGAATTGTGCACAGTGTTGTGTGAGAGCTTTAAGGTCTGGCCATCTCCGAAGGCTTCCCAGAGCCTGAGCCCCATGTCAATGTGTAAAATACCTAAAACTTGTTTCTGCATTATGGATTTTCTAAAGCCTGCGCTTTCACAGTTACTTGCTTTAACACACTTCTGTTTTGTTTGCTTCAGTGGCAGAATGAGAGCTTTGGAAAGGAACAAGATCACAAAGAAGACGTTGGAGCTGGCACAGCAGTATTTCTTGCCCCCCTACGCTTTCCAGATCCGGGTTGGTGCCCTGTACCTTTTGTATGGGCTCTACAATACACAGCTTTGCCAGCCAAAACAAAAGGTAAATGTTCTGGAGGTTTTAGTCACAGGTGACACTAGATTTGAGATAGACTGTGTCACTCTGCCTACTTTGCCATCATAAATGGGTAGGCCATTTTCTCTCACTTTCTTAAAATATTTAGAACCAGGTGATCCTTTTGGAAAAGGTGACCTTTTATATACAGCTTTGTGTTTGAGAACTTATATAGCAGCGACTAGGATACTGTGTATGCCACCTAAATTGTAGCTGTGATCTCAGAAGTCTTGTTTGCTGGATAGGAGGCTGTTCTCTGGTCAAAAATGAAGAAGATGAGCTTTCAAAATGGAGCCAGAGAACGTGCGCATCTCCTCTGTGGAGAACTCTATTACGGGCTCAGTTATCTCTTAGAGTTTCAGCAGAAAGAAGACTGAGTTATTTCCAATTCCTGCTAACCAGAAATGGCATTTGTAAATAGGTTGAAAGTGTGGATACCTGAATGACATGTCTCCTTCCTGCTTCTAGGACAGGAGAACAGTATAAAAAGAAGTTGGAAGCTCAGTGCAAGAAGTGGTTTACTTGGAAACTAATGTATCTTGTGTGCATATGCACAACTGAGTCCAAATTCTTTAAAAAAGAAACTGAAGTATTCTACAATGATGCTATTACATTTCATATCTTAATTTCAAAGAAGTCAGGACCTTTTATGGAGATTACTTTAGTGAATTTTAAACGCATTGCTATTAGCAACTGTTAGAGAGTCCAGGAGCTATGTTAGGTAGAGAGAAAATAGGTTGGCCTAGTCCAGAGGAAAGCAAGAAGGCAGGGGTACTTTTATGAGCATTTCACTGACAGCAAATCATGATACGAGTATTATTCCCTAACCATCTAGTGAGAGTCTCCTGGGTGCATATTGTTTCAGGGATCTCAGAATGTGGAGAATTCACTTTTTTTACATGTCAGGGAGGGCTTGTGTTCATGTCACTGTCAAGCAAAGTAACTGTAATGAGAATATTTAACACAACAGTATAATAAGCTTATCTGCATAAAATTTTGATTGTAGTAGCAGGTGTTACAGTAGAATCTTGTCGGTAGTTCTGTGGTGCTGTGACATGTTACACCCCAGACATAACATGCTCACAGTAGTCAGCTAAGTGAGTTTTTGTTTGCTGCAGTAAGCAGGTCAGTATGACAACAAACATCTCTTCTGTTGCAGATCAGAATCGCGCTCAAGGATTGGCCTGAAATCCAGAAATTTCAGCAGGATCTGCTAGACTCCCAGCATTATGATGCTGTGTACATCTTCAGGACGCTGCGAGTTGCCAGAGCATTCCATTTCACAGCAATGACAAAGCTGGTGTGTTATTCCTTTGATGACCTACTGGTGTTAATAAAGTACCCTGGGCGTGCAGTGGCTGGCAGTTCAGCAGTACTCGTGTACCTAGTTTATCTTGGAGCCTGTGTGGAAATGTCTTGCTTTATGTAGCTAGGTATGTGACCTAAAGCTTGGAGGATGTTTGGTTGTAGCATGCTTCCCACCTGGAAATACTATTTCAATATCTCGTGTTCTTACTAGGTTTGAGATGTCTTATTTGTGTAAATGTCAAACTCAGGAATCCAGGTGCTAGAATAAATTCTTGACTATGGAATAATTTTGGAAATGTGCTGACTCTGAGCACTTGAGAGTAAAGCTGAGGGCTGTTGTTGGTGAGATGGTTTTACGCCTATCAGCATCTCGGGAGGGTTGGTTATGCAGCAAGAATTTGCAGTTTAAGTTTGCTTTTGGGTTACAAAACATTTTCTCTTGCTTTAGCTAAACTACCGAACTAAGAAGAAGATTGAGGAAAAAGATTTTAAAGAGGAGTTTAAGGACCCAAGCAACAGAGTAAACAGCCTCATCACTAATGATGTATTGGAGGTACAGTAGCTTTTAAACTACAGATTAATCACTGGTTTTGTTTTGTTTTTCTGTTGTCCAAGAGCTGTAACTTACATAATTACAGCTTTATCCTTTGTGAATCTTCTTATGGAATGCAAACTGAGGTAATAGTCTGTGCCAGCAATTGTACCAAATGCTCAGAAACTTGGCACATATTTTGGGAGAATTATGGCATCTTTTTCCATAGTGAAATGCGGTCTTAATATTCTGTGGTTTTGCCTCAGTAGGATGTAAAAGGGGAAGGGTATAAAAAGGAGAGACAAATGGAAAATGGCAAGTGAGGAGGAGGGTGCTCCTTTTGATAGGTCTGCAGGTTGGAGGCTTGATACTTGTGGTAACATGAATTTACTTGTCTGCAAGTTTATAGCCTTATCTAACCCCTATTTCTCCCTTTAAACCTTGATTTTGTTTAAAATATAATACATTTTATAAAAAAGTGGAGTAATTCAAGCTGAGTCTAGGTTCAGACTCTGCTCATTACAACTCAATAGATCTTTGTGGACATGTTAGCATGTCAAATAGTTTTGCTGTTAGCAAATAAGTATCATCAGTAGAGTTGCCTACAGTAGTACAAACATCAGTAATCTGTGAAGTGGCAGGGTGACTGCTTCCTCAGAAGGAGGAAGTAAAATGCTCTCTCCAAAGAGATGGAAGTAGACACCATGTCAGACCTCTGAACACTGATCCTGAGTATCGCTGGCACTTCGTCCTTAGTTTAAATCATGCAAGATGCTCTTTCTTCTTTTGCACCTTTAGTGGACTGATGAGATTGTGCTAGGTAGTGCTATTGCTATACTCCCCAAAACTGAACTGATCTAAACAGAATCTGTTCCTAATACTCCTGCTAGTTCCATGGTCTCCCTAGAATGGTTTGTATAAGCCTGATTTTGTTTGTTGAGGACTTAATAGTGCTTTACTGCTGTAATTTTTTTTTTGTCCCCTGAAAAGAGTATCTTTTTTATTTTAGGAACTAATGAATATTCATGACCACTATCAGAAAATGAAGTGTGTCATTTCAGCTGACAAATCCCAGCCAGACAAGGCGCTGAGCTTGATAAAAGATGACTTTGTGGTTACTCTCAAAGATATAACCTTGGAACATCAGGAATGGCAGCAGAACAGAATGGTAGGTGATAGCAACCATTGTGCTGTGGCAACTTAACAGATGCTGTGGACATGTAAGAATTGTCTTTCTTAGTGTAATTACCTCTGATCATACTTGGTAAATCTCAGACTTGGGGAGAAAGAACTGTAACACTGCTACATGGAGTGAGTAAAACCCTAGGGAGAGATGTGGTGTGGGGGAAGGACATGGACTTGGATGTGGTCCTGTCTCTGTGATAGGTGACTGCCAAGAGAAAACCCCTGGAAAATGTATTTTATGGGCAGTATTAGAATGACCATATGAATTCCTCTGTAACACTCTTGGATCCAAGGAAGGCTGTAGTGTAAAATGGATGAAGAAAATGGGCATGTGTGTAAATACCTGGGGTTTTTTTTCGTTTCTTGGATTTTAATTGCCTTGTATAACAGCCATTTAATTTTTTTTTCCCCAGAAATTATTCCTAAATGTTAAAGAAACTGAGGAAACATCAAACAAAAAGGAAGAAGAGACTTTGCTAAATTCAGAGGTAAGAAAAATGAACTAGTTTGCTACATTGCACAGGGCAAATCTGTTAGTTTGTGGACTTCAGATCACAGGCTAAGCAGTGCAGGTCAAGGCTTGAGAGTGCCAAAGTGCCAAGAGTGTGTAATTGGGCTGTTTGGTTTTTCTTGTTTGTTTGTTTGTTTGCTTTTTAACTTGCACGTTTTCTGTCAAGCTGCAAGCATTCGCTGCACTGGTAGCTCTTAGATGCTTGTAATAAAAAGTCTCTTAGATTAAGGATGGGAAAGAGCTGTATTTTTTTTTTTTTTTCCCCCAAATTTCTTTATGGTCCCTCCTGGAGTTTCAGCTAAATGCAGTATCCATTTTTTATGCTGCAAAATCGCCTCCTGTTGTACTTATCTGCTTGGTTCAACTTGGAACTTGAGGTAAGGTGTGAATCTTCAAATTTTATTTTTCTCCTCCTGGGCTTTGTAACAGTGAAGACAATCAAAATCATGCTCTTTTTAGTTAAGTTTGAACTTTTCTTGAAGTAACAGTTTGGCAGCATTCTAATTGTGTGGAACTAATTCTAGAATTGCAGCTGTAGTGAGATATTGCTCAAGTGGTTGGCATGATATTTCATATCAATATGACTATGAAATAGAATATAAAAACCTTTTCTTACTGATATCTTGTTTCTTTGCAGGGTTCGGAAAGAGCAAATGCGTTGGCTAGAATCAAATACAAGTCTTACTCTGCAGTTGCTGAGGTAGGTATAATATTTGATGGTAAAGATGTACTTATTTTTAAAGAACAGTTTTAAGTACCAGTTTAATGTAAATGCTGGGTCAGAAAGGAACAAGTTAAAACTGCACTCTAATTCAACCTTTAAATGTTCTAGTTTTCCTAAAACACTGGGGAAACCCACCACTATTAGTATTTTCTCTTAGACTTATGTAAGCAGTGCAGATATGGTCTGTGCTTGGGAATTTTTAATTTACAAGGTGTCTTTTAATGTCTATGCTCCATTTAAGTAGATGGGATAAAAATACTTGTGAATTTAATTGCTCAAATTCCTTGAAGCTTAAGTATTGAAATCTGTGAGCATACTTGTAAAAATGGAACTTGGGGGTTTAAAGTCAGTTGGAAGTTCTTGGAAACATGTTTTCAATAACTGTTACTGTAAAAATATTGTTGATCTGTATTTTTTAAAGCAGGTGTATGAGAAACATCACAGCTTTCTTTATTAAAATCACATTGAGAAATGCATTATTAAATAAAATACAGCTCTGGAATGTGCAGTGTTCCAGTCTTGTGAATATGCAGTGAGGATGTTTTCTAGGTATCTAAGCAAAATGTGACAGTAAGGAGGCTTAATGGAGCAGCAGTTTTTGGAAGCGTTCCTTTTATTTGCACACAGTACCAACAGAGAATGGTTTGAAAATAAATGAATGTTTCATTACCTGAATTTTAAGTGATATAACCCATTAAATAATAAAAAGGTGTTATCCTGTTAAAACCGAAGAACAGTTACTAGTGGGAATCCTCCCTCCTTCCCTCTCTCCCTCCCCTTCCATCTCTTCTCCACCCTTACACAGAATTTCTTGCTTTGGTTCTTGCTGATTTGTAAAGTACTGGGCGACATAAGAAAATACCTGGCTGTAGAAGTTTAGCTTGTTTGTATCGTCCATACCTATGTTTGGGTTCTAGGCTTCCAAATCCAGAAGACATCGTCAAGTAAAATTGGAGTCTTCTGAATCAGGAGCAAATTGCGGGAAATCTCCAAGCCGAGGTAAACAGAGCAACAGGAGACCACAGCCAGCAAGGAGAAGAGATGCTTTGGAAATCAAAGGTATTCATTTATCTGTGCAGTTTGTTGAATGTACAATGCTGAGACCAACAACTTAAAGGACTCATTACGTATATGGATTCTCATGTGGTGCCATCATTTATGTTGGTGTATTCTGAAAGTGACTGAGTCTTAGGACTTGAGGACAGACTCGTTTTGACGTGGGATAGGTACAAGACCTGGTGTGAGGGTCTTTGCTAGGTGGAAAGAGGAGGTGAGGAGGGACATTAATCATCTATTTTGTGTCTTTGCTGGAGCCATCCTGTTTGGTGTTGCTGATCTTTGGCATAGCTGAACTGACCAGTGATCAATGTCCTTATTTTATTATCTTAGCATTTATGTCATCAGGATTGGTGCAGTTTTACTTTCTAGGTGTTGGCACGTCCTTGCTTATGCATCTTTTCTTTGTCTTCCAAGGTTTTCTTTAGGTCTCTTTGTCTCCTTCTTTTGAAAACATGATAAATTTCTTAAGGAAATCATCTTTGTAATATCCAACTTTTAAACTGATAGGAGTTGCTCTGCCATTTAAATTTTTCATTTACTTATCATTTAACCTTTGATAAATAATAATTGAACAGCAATATAGTCTTGAATGAACTTTACTTTGAAGAAAGGGATTTAATCTCAAAGTTCCAAGCTCTCTTTACTTACTTGCTTAGCTTCTGCTAGAAAAAGTTACTGAGAAAATTCATCCCTCTTCAGAGGTTATCATGAGACAATGTTTTCTTTGTTTCACTTTAAAACAGTAGATGAAGTGTTGATGACAAATAAGGGCATTTAAAATTATCTCTGGACTGAGTTGATTAATATGCTTTAAAATGGCAGAGTTAATTACTTGTTGATGGTTTCTTTAGTGAACCATATGATGATACTGTGAAGTGTAGGTGTTTCTGTACAGCCTTTGACTAGAAAGTCAAGAGAGCAGCAAATGAACAGTATTTAACTGACTTGAGATGTAGAAGAAATTAACAAAAGCTGATGTTTTTTCCTAAAAATGTGTCTGCAGGTGAAGTTCAAGTGGCAGAGGAACCTGTTACTCAGCATATTGGGATGCCTATAATCACAGAAGAGAACTCAGATGAAGAAGGTACAGAGATAGAAAATTTAACAAACCAATGGTTTCTTTTTTGATAGCTCTCTGCTACTGTCTTTTTCTGAAGCTGAAGCTGATATTTTGGACTGTGTGTTGCTGCCTTGCAAAAGCTAGATTAGTCATTAAGCCTGTAAATTGTTGAATGAAAATTGGAGCTTTGGTTTGATACTTTGTTAGAAGCACACACGTGGTGGCAAAGTCCTGTGAGTAATCTTTTTCTATGTAGATTTCATTTTAGAGTGTTTAGAGTCAAAATGGGTCCAGTTAAATGGAGTCTGACTCTATTATAATACAAATCTGACTTGGAAGAGTTCCAGCATGTAGAGAAAAATGATTTTTTTTTTTTGTCATTGCCCCACCTACAGAAGGTACCTGTCCTAGTAGCTCTGAGATCTTATGTAACCCACGCTTGATGTCAGAATAGTCCTTGCTGCCTTCACCTTCCTGGAGGTGAGAGGGTGAAGAAGTTTCCCCTCTAGCCTTAGTTTCAGCTGGGCAATGCCCCAAGGATTAAGGAGTCTGAGGCTGATGGGTCTCACTTACATAGAGGAGGGGCAGGCTTCATAGACCAGAGGTACTGGTTCTTAACTGGAAAGAGAAAAAAAAGAGTGGAATTTAATTAGGTTGCTTGAAGGGGGAGGAAAGGTTTAATACAGCTTCTGGAAAGCTTTAATGACATAGGTGAGTGTGAGGAGTATATCTTTTGGAGTCAATTTACTGCCCAAAATTGTATGTATTGGAAGGATATTTCATAAAAGGGAGCACAGTAACTATTAAAATACATTTGTAGTGAGGTAGCACATTCATATTTGCTCTTTTTAGAAGCAAAAGAGCATCTTGTACTACTGAAATAAGATAACGTTCTGTGATCAACCAAGTTGTAGACAGTCTGAATTCATTCAATTTTAAGTGGCCAGATCAGAGGCACAGTGCTGCATTTAATATTGTACTTTACTTTTCCTTCAAGTTGTTGTGGACAAAGAGTTTCTTTCTAAATCAGGAACATTGTTCATTTCTCAGAATTTGCTGGGAAATTCTGGAGCATTAAAAATACCCATCAGCAATCTCCTCAGGTATTTTGTACATAGTTTTGTGAGTATTCCATTTGTCAAATTCACAACAAAATCTTAAAGACGTTCATGAGGAACAGAAAGCTCTCAAGATCTAATAAGTTTTGAAGTACAGTATTTTGTTCATCAATGGAATTTTAATTGGTATTTTGAAAGATAGTATGCTGTAGAATCTAGAAAGATTTTTTTTGTATTTAAAACCATGGTGAGAGTGATTGGGAGGGGATCTCAAGAGCTCATCTAATTAATTTCCTTTGCTGAGCAGAATTAATTCTACTTCCATTGTTCCCACAAGAGAAGATAGATAGAAAAGCTTGTCAGAAAAGTCTCTTTATTTCCTTTCAGAAGTATCTTTCCCCAAGAGGAAAAGAAGACGTTAGAGAATCCAGCTGGAGAAGCACTGATGTTAATTTTAATGACAAAATACAAAAGTCGGAGGTAACACCAAGTGCTTGTTTTGGATGCCTTTGAACACACAACAAGACGTGTCTGGGGCCAGAACCCCAGGTGATGCTGGAATACTGGTAGTGACTGGTGTACCTCAGCTGTCTCATGGTGCAGCACCTGGTGCAAAGTTACTCACCTGGTGAATGTTGATTGTGGGAGACAAAGTTGCTGTGACCTATTTGAGGTGGAAAGAGAAGATGAAAGATGGTTGCTTGTTGTATTTACCTTGTACAATGTGAGGTACCACTTAGAACTCATGTTGGTCTGCAGTGATGGTTTTAGCTGAGACTGTTAACAGAACAGCTCACAAAATATTTCTCCCTGTGAGACACATTGTATCTCTGAACCTCGAATTAAGGTTGCTGACTGTTGAAAATGCAGTACAATAAATTATTTTTCACCGTTTATTTCTTCCTTTTTATAGTGTGTAACTTCAGCAACGTTTGTCATGGTTTGATCCTGCAGGTGAGGGAAATGAACTTTTGTTCTACACTGTCTCCAGCAGATCTGGAATTGTTGTATATTCAGATGAAGAAATGTGAAGCGTGCTTATGAATTCTGCAGATGACCCTGAGTTGTACAAGGGCAGGACTGGAATTCAAAATGGTCTTTATAAATTGGAGAGGAGTGGAAGGAGTGGGTGTGGAAACAAGCATCAAGCTCACTCCTAAGAGCAGGTACAGGATGGGGAAATGATTGCTAGGCAACGGTACTGCAGGAAAAGCAAAGAGGCTGAGGTTGTTTACAGAAAATACTCCAGCTTACCAATAACAAGCACTAGAATTTGTCATTCAGCCCTGAAAGGCTATAGCCTTTAATATCTCCATCTGATCACAACAATTCAGGAAGAATGTGGGTAGTTATTCTTCTTGGTGTTTTCTCCAGCTGATCGTAGCTGTGTTACCAAGAAAAGCCAAAGGTGTTGAGGGGTCTACTCCTACAAGAAGAAATATAAAATAAAAGTTTGAAAGATTTTGAATATACAAGGCTGCTAGAATGAGTGCATTACTTTACTAGTATGAACCTCAAAACCAAAAGGAAATTAAGAAAAAATACTAAGTGGAAATACAAATGATTTGACTATGAACAGGGCCTGGATTAAATGCATTAGTTGGTAAGGAGGCATGGGCCTAAATGACAAACCAGTTGGATGCTGGAAGAGCTAATAATTAAACACCAGTGTTGCACTCTACCTTATTAATGGGAGAAGAGGAAATGCTTTATAATAAAACCAAAACCTTACTGTATGGTAAACTGAACAATCAAATATTCAGTTGAATACCCAGAATCTTTACAGTCTAATCCAGAAGTTGTTATTAGTCCAAATCTAATTATTACAGAAAAAGAATATTTCTGTACAGGAAAAAAAAAAAAACAAACTCTATCACGGTAATAAGTGAAATTATTATAGGTGTGCTTAGTTTCTACCCCTTTTTCCTGGTTTAATCACTCTTCCACTGCACTTCTGGTCCTAAGGTTGTTGGCCGTGGTCCGTGGAAAGAATATGCTAGAGATTTGGTTGTTTAAAAGTACTCATCTGTAGTTACAAAGGTTCTGGATGTATCATTTCTGTAAACTTTGAACAGTTTGATTTCAGTTGGGTTTTTTGACAGTAATGATGATTGTGTTTTTCTGTTACCAGCACAAAATAACCCCTTGTACTTCTGCATTTCTGCTCCTCATTTTCAGTGAGCAGATGTAAAAGACATTTCCTCTTAAAGAAAACTTAGCCAGACTTTTCTGGTCAATATTTTCTGCTCATCCTAATGCAGTTAGGATCTTGTTGGTTGTTGGTATATCAGCTGCAGCTGCTGCTGTGGGGACACAGGCTGGGGGAGAAACTCTCTGGAATCCTGGCGTTGCGGGGGATGAACAGCAGTACAGGTTTAATTGGGGAGTCCTTTGGAGATGAGGTGCAGTGGAGTACTCGAATCTCTTCTTGGGAAACCCCTGGATGGCTAAGAAAGATCTGTTGATGAAGAGACGGAGTTCTTTCTAGCGATATTGGGACTAACTCTTCAAATTCATCATTTCTTACAAATTTCTTCACTTAGGAAGCTGCCTAAGGCTGAACTTTACAGCACCAGTCCTCTCGTGCTCTGCCTGGGCACCGTGGGTAAGCCAAGTCTTCTGGCTCCATGGTACTGGTGTTTCCTTTGAAGGGAAACTTGATAGTGATTTTTTTTTTAATTTCCCTCCAACTTGCAGGTGGAAGCTAAAGATTAAATACAGCTACAGGAGCTTATTTTTCATATTCTTGATGGGCAATTTTCAGCTGAATTATTATTCCATATATATGGCATAAATTTATTTTAACATATTTAAAGAATACATTTAATACTGTTCCCTGCAGTGACTCTTTTTCTTAACATGACCATCTTGTGTGCCTCTCCTTGCATCTTTGAACCATCCCGAGAGTGGAGCAGAATTTTTTTGAGTTTTTGATGTTCAGTGACATGAGTCTTGCCTGCACACACTTCTGAAAATGATTTGCAGATCAACATCAGAAGCATGCAAAGGCATGAATAGGCATGAGCTCAACTAGCAGTTACTTTAATGTTGTAATTAGGAAAACAAATGGGTTTTAATTTGTTTATAGAAGTACATAGATGTAAAATGGAAGTTATGCTTAAGGATAGACTTAAAACTGCTGACTGTATACAGTGATATTATTTCAAAACTGTAATCCTGAGAATTTAGAGGTAGCTGTAAGCAAGGTTTCATAATGCTGGTGTAATTTTTTTCTTTTTAAATAAAAATCCCTTGCTACAGTCTAATGGGCAATTACAGCCTTTTAAAAACAGGAGAGGGACTTCCTAAATTGCTTCATGAAGCAAGCAGCTGTCATTAAAAACAAAACCCACAACAACCTACCCCCTGCCAGGAACAGTAAATATAGAATTCCAAGAATAGTGTTTTCTAGTATCTAACCTGTCTCCTGGTTGTAGCCTCAGCTAGTGTAGTACTCAAAGGCTGCAAGAGAACTTCACCTCTGTAATGCTGGTCTAGTTTCTGACCCACCTGGTGGATAGGAGTGAGGCAACGTGACAGCATCTATCTGGATGTTATTACAGTGTTTAGAAATAAGTTAGAGAAATATGGTTTGGCTGAAACTTCTCTAAGATAGATGTACAACTGACTGAAGATCTACCTTCATACAATAGTAATCGCACTTTCTTTGGCACAGCTGAAGGATCCTCAAAGTAGAGGTTTGAGCCAGTGCTCTGCAGTGTTTACAAGTATAAGGTGGGTGATGAAAAGCAGAATAAACTTAAAACACTTAAGGGTGACATCAGTTTATGAACTGTTCAAGTGGAAGACATTTTCCAGTATAATTTTTATTCTTATAATGGGAGAAATCAACAAGGTCTAATTAAGTGCAGTAGGCTACACTTGTAAGGACAGATCAAATGCAAACACCACCTCGGGAATGCCTGTGTATGCAGCTGGTCTCAATCTGGAGGGTTTTGTGGCCCT